CTACTCCACAGTGTCCTGGCACCCAGTAGAGATTTACTGTATTGTTATTAGACAACTGTTGAAGTAACTGAATGCATTCCCATACTAACTTGAAAGTACATGTAAATGATTTTAAAGCATTCAAAGCTGCTTGGCTATCAGAAAAAAATGCATAGATTTGCATGTTTATATTTTCGTTTTAAACACACAATAGTACACTCTAGTATGGCTTGAATTTCAGCCTGAAAAACGGTTGACCATCCACCCATAGAAACTGAAATATTAACACCAGGACCTGTCACACCAGCTCCCACTTTATCATTTTGTTTTGATCCATCAGTAAAGAATACAACTGATCTTGGGTGGATTTGTGGTCCTCCCGCACTCCAGAGAGAGCGGTCTGGTTGTACCACATTGAACAGTCGACTAAAATTGAATTTTGTCTCCATCCAATCATTACTGACTGTAACTAATGGATTGATTCGTATTGTTAAACTTACATAAAGTTATAAAATTCTGGAAAAATGTTTTGCCACTGAATTAGGGGAATTCAAATTTCCCCTGATCCCCTTCTGGCAACGTACATGTATACAAAGTAAATGAAGCTATTTATGTCACATTTTGATAGATGCAAACAATTTTAGCTCTGAGCACGGAAGGTGATAGCTCAATTGTAGATGCAACGACCTATTTCAAGAATGAGTACTCATTAGAGTGCACACTTAGAAATTACTATTTTTACACGAGACGTAATTTAGCTCTGACGTAAATCATGGAACGTAAACAAACATGGCATGTAAAATTAAGTGTCCTGAAACTGAAACATATGCAACTAGACGAAAAGTGCGTTTGATTGAATTCATTTTCTCGTCCTTTTCAACTGATTCTTATGTCAAAAGGGCCGCTTGCATGTGTCGGTCTCAGGGCACTGAAATTTACATGTCTTTTTCGTAGTGTGTGGGTCAACTTAACAACCTACGTCTCCTCATGGCTCGGTCGATCCATATTGAGGTCCCCAACAACTATGTCAAATTTGAACGAATTTGGTTACTATCTGGATTTGCGGGAGAGCCTTCTAATTTGTTTGGTCCGCTTGTCAAAAATTCAAAAATCGCTCAATTTTTATCAAACCTGGGACCTAGTTTGATTAACCTATACAGAACAAGAAGAACCGTTGAAGACCGTAAATCGATTCGACTTCTGTGCAAAACGTTATTATTTTTTAATTATGGTCATGTGTTCCGCGCATACCTTACTTACCTTACCAATCAGACTAAGGCCTTGTTGTCCTCTGCTGTCCGAAGAAGTCGTCTCCACTCTACTCGCCAGCCTCGTAGTCTGCAAAGGGTTCGCAGGTCGCCTTCTACTTGGTCGATCTCCACCTTGCCTGCTGCGCGCCTCTTCTTCTTGTTCCTGTTTGGTCGCTTTCTAGAACCATTTTCACTGGGTCGTCGTATGGTATTCTTACGACGTGCCCAGCCCACAGTAGACGCCCAATTTTTGCAATGTGGACGATGGATGGTTCTCCAAGCAGCTGGTGCAATTCGTGGTTCATTCGCCTCCTCCACGTTCCGTCATCCATCTGCACTCCACCGTAGATGGTACGCAACACCTTCCGTTCGAAAACAACAACGTTGGTCCTCCACGAGCATAGTCCAGGTCTCGTGGCCGTAGAGGACCACCGGTCTAATCAGCGTCTTGTAGACAGTCAATTTTATTCGACCGGAGCGTCCTCCGGAGTCCAACGTAGGCACGATTCCCTGCCATAATGCGTCTTTGAATTTCTCTGCTGGTATCATTTTCGGCGGTCACCAGTGAGCCCAAATACACGAACTCATCGACCACCTCGATTTCGTCACCGTCAATCTGAACTCAGGGTTGGGAGGCTAACATTGTCTTCCCTAGAACCTCTTCCTTTAATGTATTTTGTCCTTGATGCGTTGATGGCAAGTCCAATCCGCCTAGCTTCAGCCTTTAGTCTGATGTACGTTTCCGCCATCGACTCAAAGTTCCGTGCCATGATGTCTACTATATGCACTACTGGGTGCATATAAGCTTGTAGGTATGCACGGTGCACCAGGGCGACTGTAAAAAAATAATAACTTTTTGCACAGAAGTCGAATTGATTCGCGGTCTTCGACGAAGTTGTGTGTATAGTTTTTTTAATCTAGGTGCCAGGTAAAAAATCTAAATTTTTGAAATTAGATCAAGCTAGTTTTGTTCCGTTTCCCATACATTTTCGCATACAAATTTTAAAGCTCTCCCACAAATCCAGGTTGTAACATAATTTATTCACATTTATCACAGCTGCTGGGGATCCCAATACGAATCGAAAGAGCTGTGGGGAGTCGGGGGTTGTGATCCGTCATATAGTGTTGACCAACCCTATTGCTCATCACGTGTATTTTGAGGTCGTCATCACATTTAATAAGCCTCACATGCATACTAGAGTGATGCAAAATTTGAAATTTTCGCTCCACAATACTTAAACGATTCCAAATCGGATCCTGACTAACCTCTCAAAATTTGAACCCATTTGGTGAGAAACTGAGATGGCACAAACCATTTGAAGTTTGTATGGGAATTACTATGGTAAAACCAAGATTTTTGTTCACGTCTATCTGATAATTCACCATATCGGTCTGCTTCAAAAGCTTTCAACTTTACTTGTAGCAAAATCCCAGCTACAACTTTGCTGAAGACCATTTTTAGATTAAATGCAAGGATCGAAAGTTATCAATGGTTTAATGCGCTAATGTCTTATGATCATGCTCAATCAACTGCTCAGCAGGCAACATTGTTGTTTCTGGGGCGTTGAATAGGACACAAAAATCATGGCTACTATGTCACACTGCAAAATACAGTGTTGCCTACAGAGCAGCTGCTTGATCATGTCATAAGTTTACCAATCTCTAAAATAATTAATAACTTTTTCCTGTCTCGTTTTACATAGAAACGATCTTCAGCAAAGTTTCTATAATAATGGCTATCGAACTGTTTTGCAGCTCAATATGGAAAAAAGACTAGAAGGCAATGAACAACAAGTTGAGATTTCCTATAGTTATTTACATGCAAACTTCAAATGGCTTGTGCGTAGTCTGTTTCTAACCAAATGAGTTGTAATTTTGGGAGGCTAATCAGGACCCGATTTGATACCATTTAAGCACTTTCAGCAGATTTATAGATACGGTTCATTTGGAACCAAACACGTTAATCGAGAATTTTAAGGAAACGAGCGAACAAATTTGGCCAAGAAGAAACAAGGCTTCCAACATATCGTGCACGAAAACCGACCTAAGAACCTCCATCGTAACAAAGCTTTTTTTTCATACATGGAATAACAAGTTAAAATTGCGCCGCTACACCAACACCATCACAGGTTTGGTGGCAAAAGTGGTTGCCCTAGTCTTTTACTTAAAAACATACGGAGCGCATTCTTACAATTTCGATTACCTAAATTAAATCGATTTTTTTTAAAGAGAACGAAACCAGGAAAGTCAAATTTAAAACTTGCAAACCTTTTGTCTAAGCAGGTATAAGCTAAAGAGGAAAACGGTCAAGACAACCAGAACCGAAAAAGATTAACACACCTGCAAACCAATTTCGAAGGGTTTCGACACCCGACACAAAGCGATAATTGACTACCTGCTAGGTATACCCGTAAAAACAAGAACCATAGAGGAACAATGAAACGTATTGTAACCATACAATATAATTTAATAAAAAATCATATTGTCCACAACGATAAAATAAACATAGAATCTATGGTAAATGGGGAAATCTACAATAGAACAAGGGGTTCGCTATTGAAGCATTTCGCTCCACACTGCCTAAACGGTTCCAAATTGGGCCCTGATTGGCCTACCAAAATTTGAACTCAAACACAAACACGACACAAACCATTTGAAGTTTAGATGGAAATTACTATGGGAAAACCAAATGTTGTATTCATATCTATCTAATAATTAACCCTATTATTCTGCTGTGAAAGTTGATAGCTGTACTTGTTGTAAATTTTTACAGCTACAACTTTGTTGAAGACTATTTTTCGATCAAAAGTTATTAATGATGCAAGTCACTATTGTCTTATGATTATGCTCAATCAACTGCTCAGCAGGCAACATTGGTGTTTCTGGGGCGCGTTGAATAGAGCTAAAACATCATGGCTACTATGTCACACGGCAGAATACAGTGTTGCCTACAAAACAGTTACTTGATCATGCCATAAGATTATCAATCTCTTAAACAATTAATAACTATTTAATTTGATGTGTGGCTGAAAAAAAATATTCGGCAAAGTTGTAACTGAGAAAATGAATAGCTATAGAATTTTTTAACGGTGCCATATGGAAGAAGGATAGAAGACTACGAAGAAAAAGTTTGGTTTCCCCATAGTAATTCCCATATAAACTTTAAATGGTTTGTAGTAAGTTTCTTACCAAATCAGTTCAAACTTTGGGAGGCTAATCTAGACCCGATTTGGAACCACTTGAGCACTGTGGAGCGAAAATGTCAAATTTTGCATCAGTCTAATATACAAAAAATAAGATCCATTTAGTTGAGATTGTATTTTAGGCAGTCTAGGAATGTCTCTAGTTTGCTTTCCACACTACAAACTCGATACGAAAGTAACGGAAACCGAAATTCTAGATGATACTCCAGCAACCTTATTAGCATCTTCTACTCGGTTTTACGGCCCATCATCTTCCCACACAAGCAAAAGTCAGCCCGGCTTCGGTGGCGGATTGATATTTATGCCTACCGACACCACATAGTAAGCTGCGCTATCACCAAACTGTAAACAACATCGACCTACGCCGCTGTGTCACAAAATAGGCGCGGGGGCGAGACATTTTGCACGCCACAATTGTCAAAAGTCCAGCGAATTGAATTGATTATAGCACGGAATGTGAGCCAACGGTATTGCGTTATTCGGGGCAGGAATTGCAGAGCGTTAGAGTTTCGGCGTTACTAAAATCACTGTTTTCTCTTCCCTTCATCCACCGAACCAACCAACACAGCTTTACAGAGCGGCACGGGGTGCACTTTTCCAAAACGATGGGAGGGACGATGGTTTCAATCGGGGGTACAACAGGAAATTACTATAGAAGGATCAACTTTAAGTACTAGAGGAAGATGTATCGCTAGCGAGGGAGATAAATTTTTATTAGTGAACGAGTAAGTACGACCGTGTTCCTTTGCTTGCCTGTTTCTCTATACCTCTTTTCACTCTCTTTCTTTCACATGAAAATCCTTTTAACTTGTATTTCTACTTCTGTTCCCATTACATTTTCGACTCACAATTTTGCGTTTTTTTTTTTGTTTACATCATAAGATCATTTTTCAGACGCAAAAAAAAACAATACCAGCCGCTTATTCAGTTCTAGCCGGATTACGTTTTACCTTTTCTGATTATCATGCATTTGTTTCTCTTTTCTCTTTTTTCTACTACTACGTCGGATTTTTCCACGGTAATCCGCAGAAAAGGATGTCATCGATGCGTTGTAATATACCAGAAGCATTTAAACACACTTCAGTATAAAGAAAGTGAGTGTGAAGATATGTATATAGGCCAGTTGAATCCAGCTCCAATGCCTATTCATAGCGTTTTAAAAAGTGATCATAGTCGGGGGGCTCATCCCAACATGAACGGGCATTCACGATTATCGTCATCGGATCAGTATTCACGATCCAATGAAGATAGCGACAATTGTAAGCAACGATTTTATTTTACTCTAGCAGATAACAACTACTTTTAAGTGTATTTTTCCTTACTGTTCTGTTCTGTTTTGATTTCCATTCTCAACAACAACAACAGCCGTCAGATTGGTTCTTTGGTTTCTATTCTTTGTTTTCGTTTTCCGTTTCCGTCCTTTCTCACATTAGAATCATATGTTTTTTCCTTGTACCATAAGAGAAAACTAGAGGCGTGAAAGTTTGATAATTTTCTTAAACGATTCCAATAATCACCGCGCGTCAAACGAGTTCAAGATAAGCCACTGTTCCCTATCTATTGATGATATAGTTACTAACAAGTCGATGATTACTTCGGTGAGTGCTTTTGTGGTGGTGCACAAGGTGATGGTGGGTGGTTCCGCGCGTGCACGCATACAAGTACATCAACACAAACACGTAGTAGCAACCGACAAAAAAAAAACCTCACATCATTGGCACACGGCATATTATCATTCCCAGCCGCTTTTTTCTGTTTGTTTAGGAACGCGCTATGTAGTAGGATCAAATGCGACTTCGATGGGTTACACTGCCCTAGAGTCATTTACACCCAAGCGAAACCATAAACCCAACAATTTTCCCCCTGTCACTTCTGTTCGAGAGAAAGAGTGTGGGTGGGGGAAGAAAGGAAAACTAGGAAGCGAAAGGAGCAAAATATGAAAAACTTAGCAGTCGTCGTCGTCGTCATCATCGTAGTCATGGGTGCCGCGCGCAGTCCGGTGTGTGTGTTTGTCAAATGCGCGCGCGACAGAGCAAACACAGAAAGCCGCATTCAGCCTACTACGACGGCCTGTCAGCTTGCTGCTGCTGCTGTTGCTGCTGCTGGTGCTGCTTTGGTTGGTTGGGCCCTTCTGGTCAATAAATTCCGTTGCGTGTGCCAAAGGGCGATATATTTGAGTTAGAGCCGTCGTAGATGGCGACAAGGAGCCGCGGGGCGGAGAAGCAGCTGCCGGAAATGAGAGTCTCATTATTGTTTGCTGGAAATTTAATATGCAGGTTATCTAATCGTTCCACCCAACAGGTCCTTTTTGCGGCTCCTGGTAGCTGGAGAGCTGTGCCAGGGGGGGAAATGACTGTAGGGTAAATAGATGCGACTGTTGGTTGGGAACCACCTCTCACGCTCGCACATATTGCACGACTGCGGCGGGAAGTGGGCGAGGTGCGGGTGATGGATGATTGTCGTCTTTGTTTTGTCGATGAAAGAAGGGTGACAGTTCGCGGGTAGTTATTATGAGGTTGATACCGATGGCTGGGTTGCGGTTAACGATTTCACATTCTGTCAATTTATGTGACAGTGCGGATTTGTTGTTTATGAGCTTGATATCTATTTGGATTATGTCACCAGAAATCTGTTATTTTTGTACTCGTTTTTCTAATGAAGAATAAATATTCGAAAAATTTAATATCATCTAGAACTGGATTAGAAACGGCCAAAACTCGGTGTAAACCGGAGTTACTAATCAGTTCTGTACTTGAATTATAGCATAAAGGGCGAACACGAAATTATTGCGACACCGAAAATGTCATGCCAATTTTCTTATAATGTTTAGAATCAAACCAAAATTTTAGGGTAGTTTTATACATATACTTTAGACCTGTTCATTTTAAACGAAATGTTCGGAATGTAACGGGTCAACCGTGATTACTGTTCGTCATGTTAATTTGAACTTCTGTGCAAATTTTCAGCAAAATCGGTGATGATTTAGAGGTGCTTCATGTTAATTTTATGTTTTTAAGGTAATTTACGGCTTACAATATTTGTATCTCGAGACTGAAACAACGAAAGCTGCTGTAACAACTTTCATAGCAAAGTTTAATGTGTTATGTATCAACTTTGTAACCAAAGGTTGACTATTCGAAGTGATTTTATTGAAGTTTGACTTAGTTTCATGCTCGAAGATATCTTAAAAAGTGAAGAATTTTAAAGTATTTGTTCTACGAATTTTCCACCCATATGATATAAAAATGTGTAGTGTACGGCATAATGTTCCTCATATTGTTCTAGAAGTTTCGTTCCAAAATAGTTTTCGTGTATATTTCATAGATTGAGAGATAAAAATCAGAAAAGAGGCCGTTTTAGCTAAAATTCACAAGACAACAGAACCAATAAAAGTCAATTAGATTGACAGAACATAGTTGCATTGCTTTTCAATGACGACCGATGACTGTTTCATTGATATATGATTTTTTCATAAATATGAATCCTCAGTAGACGTGTTTTTTTTATCAAAGGCAAGTGTCACTCGAGCCATTCAAATGTTCGTTATTTTATAAATTGCTGTTATGGTTCGAGTTGAATGGTGAATGTTCAACATTTTTCCCAACTGCCGGTGCGACAGGTCAGGAAATTCCAGGTGTTTGGAAAGAATTTGTTCTCTCAACTCGCGTTGGTTCACCTCCATTTTCGTTGAATCGAAAAACACGACTTCGAGTTTTACAGCATGTACACAATACACATCAATGAGAAAGTGTGCAAAATTTGGTTGATTTTTATGATTTATGTGTCGCAATAATTTCGTGTTCGCCCTTTACTGGTTTTACTGGTTGCATACTGAGCATTTTTTTTTTCTTTGAAAATTGAATAAGTCCTGACCAGGGTTACTTCCACTCACTTGCTATAAAAAAATGTTTTTCAGAATTATGAAATCATGAGATGGTATAGCGATAATTAGTACTTATAAGTTACAAGATGAGGACGTGAAGTATGTGTTTGACACATACAATCTGTCAATATTGCTTTCAGTGCGTCACAATCAGCAATTTTACGACTCGTGAGTACTCACTCTGAGTGAACGCTCACGAATCATAAGATCGCTTATTGTGACGCTCTGATAGCAAAATTGGCAGGTTTTTTGAGTGAAACACATACTTTAAACCCTCGTCTCGTTACTTACAAGTACAGCATATCATTATATCATCTAATGATTACATAATTCCAAAAATATGTTTTTATAGCAAGTGAGTGGAAGCAACCCTGGTCCTGACAGTAAGCTATTCAAAGATTCAAACGTCAATTAGTTAAAACTCCTTGAAGTGATGTATTTTGCTAATTGCATATTAAACATATTTTTCTTTATATGAATAAGGAAGATGTCATTTCCGGCAACTAAACAAATATGTACACACAATTCTGTTCGCACGCGATTTAATTTTCTTTCTCGATTTGGTCCTTAGGATGAGTACAGAAATGTCAATACGGTATACCTCGATATATTTGTCTGGCAACATGGGGGCTCATCCTCCAAAAGATAGCTGAGGGTGTTTCAAACATTGTTTTTTTTTTATAACGACAACTTTGGGAAATGATGTTTACAGGTATCCGATAAAAATTTTGAAAAAAGTTAATTTTTCATAGCTAATATTGAAACAATATTTCTAATTCTTTTAAATTTGATGAAACCTAATTCTTTAATAGGGAGATGAACCAGCCTGCGGCTAAAAATCTCGATAATAAAGAAATAAAAAAAAAATCTTTAATATTTTTAAAAAAATCTAAGTTTTCAAACTAAAGGGTGTATTCGATAAAAAATGGCACACCGAAAATCTTCTGTAACTTTTGAATCATATGAGTAAAAAACCTGAAAATTTGAGTAAAGTTTGGAATTGCAAATACAACAGTGTTTCGTGTGATAAGAACCTTCAAGGAGCGTCTGATGGCCAGGAAAGAACCGTCCAAACATGTCAATTCCAGATGTCGCTAAAAAGTCCGAGGTGTCAGTCGGTTTTGTGCAGAAACCATGAACCGTCCTGGGTTACATGTTTACAAGGTACAAAAAGCCCCAAACCGGAATGAAAAGTAAAACATCACTGCGAAAACCCGCACCCGGAAACTTTACACGAAGTTGCTGACCAAATCGTGTTGCAACGTGATGGATGACGAAACTTACGTCAAGACCGACTTCCGTCAACTTCCTGGGCAAGAATATTTCGTTACCAAGTCTATGTTCGATGTCCCGGAGGATGTTCGACGAAAGAAGAAATTATCTAAATATGCAAAGAAGTTCCTGATCTGCCAAGCGATTTGTGGATGTGATGAAATAAGCGCTCCCTTCATCACTTCCGGAACAATCAACGGTGCGATTTACACGGAAGAGTGCCTTAAGAAGCGTCTCTTGCCATTCGTAAGGAAGCTTAAAGGATCAACTCTGTTTTGGCCTGATCTAGCATCCTGCCACTACGCTCGAAACGTGGTGGCCAACGGAGTCAATTTTGTGCCAAAATATATGAACCCACCAAATTCACCGGAACTTCGCCAATTGAACAGTTCTGGGCAATTATGAAGACGGAACTTTGCAAACATCCCAACAGTAGCTGGAGTTGAAGAAAATTTGGGTAAAAACAACAAAAACACTGGGGAAAGCGTTTGTACAAAATTTGATGGATGGACTGAAAAGGAAGGTGCGGGCATTCGGAATGGGAGACGAAATAGAACAAAACAAATTTTGTAAATCATAACTCTTTAGCAGTTTTTCATGCCATCAAAATTTCAAGAAAATCCGATAATCGGTTTAATTTTGGTGAGTAAATAGGTGTGTGCCATTTTTATCGAATACACCCTTTATACGAGATAAAAATGTCATATTTTTTTTTTAAATCTCTTAATCTATGATTATATTGGTGTATTAAGGCATTCAATCATTAAAAGTGGGTAGCAAACATAATGCCACATCAGGTCAAAAAACAGATAATTGAACGTATCAGAAGCTTTTGTAAGCTGAGAGATACAATTGATAGTAAACGCATAGAAAAATATCAATTCAAACCCGATATCAACAATCAATTCGAAACTAACGATTTTAAATTGGCTCATTACTTCACTAGCCTATTGGTCCCAAGCAAATCGATGACCATACCCCATTCTAGTATAAATTCCAGTACTACACTATGTTTGTTTTGATTCGCTATGAAAGTTTTCCAGATAAAATGAGGGGTTATTGGTTTTTCCTATGATTCGAGGGGTGCATCGATTAGCTTGGGACCGAAGATAGTACCAGAGCTGAGCCAAAAAGTTGAGCTGGTTTCTTCGGGACCTTCTGGTCTTAGAGTTACCTCTATGGTATCATACTACAAGGGACAGCGTAGGACTGCGTGGTCTAATATAATAAATGTTATTTGTTAACTGCAACGTAAGCTTGTGTTTTGTGTAGGAATAGGAACTTGAGCGGGGTTCTCTCTGCTTATACTCGTTAGTATGACGCGCTTGGCATAGATGGCCCACAGCGACTCACAAAGAGCTACTGATTCCGATCAATAGCGGTGCGGCTTCTTCCTCCTTCTATGGATGCTCATGTGGGCTGCAGCTCGCTGCTTGCAGGCAGCTTTTCGTTGGCAGGCCAACGTTTGGTGAGACCAGATGGAATTTAACTTTGAAATCTATGTTAGGGAAATCGCTTTTCGCAGGTAATCGGTGATAATTTTAATTATCATAGCACCAGTTGCACATTCGGGCAATTTTCAATAGTGACATTTTGAAAAAATGATAAAGTCAAAATTTTAACAGATTCGTAGAAAAAATTCCAATCGATTGGCGTAGTGAGAATAAAAATCCATCACCTCTGGATCAGAATCAAACCAATTTCATGACGCAACCGACTTTGGTTTTTGAAATTGTACCCGCAATGTTGCTTTAAAGTACTTGGTATGTTAGATTTAAGCATATCTAAATAGAGCTGGAATTAGGCGTAACAGCTTTTGTAAACAATGATTTCTCTCGATGATTTTTAGGAATTCAAGGACGCCCACGCAAACCAACATTACCGACGGGTAGAAGAAGTCTTACCCTACCTGATGGTGATGTTGATTTGCGTGGGCGAGCCTTGGCTTTCAAAACATCATCATAATTCCAGCTCTATCTTGATATGGGAACTGACATCCAAATGATGACCTTGACAAATGTCCAAAAAATACTCTACCAATTTATGGTGGTCCTGAAAAGGACCGTTTTGTCGTGATTGTTGAGAAATGCTGAGATATTAGGGTGTTAAACACAGATGAGCCTGATGAGCTGTATGTTGTTTGGAATGAGGGTGACGCGCTAAACATAGATGGCCCACAGTGAATCACGAAGAGCTACTGATTCCGATCAATAGCGGTGCGGATTTCCTCCTTCTATGGATGCTCATGTGGGCTGCAGTTTTCGTTGTGTACTGGAGAACAATGTTCAACGCCAAGTGCCGAAAGCACTGCTGCTTATAATTTTAATTATCAAAGCAACAGTTGTGCATTCGTGCAACTTTCAATAATGACATTTAAAAAATGATAAAGTCTTAAATTAAACAGATGCGTACAAATATTTCTAATCGATTGGTGATGAAATTATTGAAATTGGTCCAGGGGCAGCTGAGTTATTAACGTTCAAAATCACAAACGTACACACTAACTTTAGATTGCTGGAGTCAGTAAATTTTTACTGGGTTTTTGAATTGCGGATCGCTCAGTAATCATCACAGCAATAATGTGCTGTACCGAACTGTCCGTAAAGTCAATCTGTCAAAAATAACTGTTCATTCAGTAAATGGTTCGAGTTGCGTTCAGCAATGTTAACTGGGAAGCCCAGTATTTTTTTGTTTATTTTGCTGTAGTTTAACTGACTAGACAGTTATTTTGTTCGATCTTGTACCGTTTTACCCAGTTTCTCACTCATTTTAGTTTACCGAAATCAGTAAAATTTTACTGGGTTTTTGAACTGCGGACCACCCAGTTATTAGATCGGTTGCAATTTTGAATACCGAACTTCCAGTAGCAGCAAAATGGAAATGAAACGTTAAAGAATACTATATGTTCAGTAATGCATATGAATCAACCGATGAGCTCAGTACATATGATCAAAATAATGTTGATTGAATATAATGATTATGATTGCAGCAGCATAAAATTCATCAAACGCTTTCAATATGGCTCATGATCAATAATGTTGTTTCGAAAATCTACAATACTTTTAACTGCATACGGTATCATTTGGCGTACAGAACGAACATCGTCTATTTGAACAAAAACTAATGAGAATACAGAACATCATCTATACATTAGTTACTTACCTGAGTTCGATCAGTTTCCTATGTAAAAGTTACAGTCAACTGTACATAATTACGTGGCAGCACTTTATTTGCCCAAACTATCCAAGCATTGTGTCTTGTGTCAAACTGCACTGTTCGTGATCAGTTATATGCACATCAACATTGATGAGGATTCATGAAATAAATAATAGTAGCAGTAAATACTATATAAAACTGTTTCCTCGGTAATATTTTGTACTGAAAATTAGTACAGTTCAGTAAACATACTACTTTACCGTTTAATCCGTAAAAATACTTGCAGTACTCAGTATTCTTTTGGCAACTTAACTGATATTCAGTTATTAAATACCGATTGTTGGTTTCAAGTCACGTCTGAACTGATGTTTCAGCTATAATTTTGCTTTACAAACCAGAGTCAGTATAAATAATTACCGAACACCTAAATCCTGAATGAGTGTGTAGTCCTACGTCAAAAAGCTTCTAAAAACCTCTGCAAGTTTTGATATAAGGTCTTTTTCCAATTTCACAAATAATATTTGTTTTCGACTTGAATTTGTTCCGCTACACTCCTCTAACCAAAAAGAGAGATTTAGTAAAGTATTAAAACAAAACTAATCAAGAAAACCTGGACCGGGTAATAAACCTTGATCAGGGTTCGACTTATTTGGTATGTTTTAGGGAGTATTTCACCGTTTCAAAGGTACAGTTATGAGACTGAAATTTTTAATTAAATTTAACCTGATTAAGCTAGTTAAGTTAAGTTCACCGGAATTCGCCATTATAAAGTCCACTTTTGACGTAGGACTACGTCTGTGATTTCTATATGGGGGTACACTTTGTGAAAACCGAAAATGGAACATGTAACACAATTATGAAAGATTTTGAACGTTAATAACTCAACTGCCCCTGGACCAATTTTAATAATTTTATCACCAATCGATCAGATATATTCCTACGCACCTGGTAAATTTAAAACCTTATTATTTTTTTTAAATGCCACTATTGAAAATTGCACGGATGTGCAAATGTTGCTTTGATAATTAAAACTATCACCGATAGCCTGCGAAAATCGATTTCTTTGACACAGATTTCAAAGTTGAATTCCATCCGGTCTCACCAAACGGTGTTTATTCAATCACCGCATGGTGAGTGGTGGTGTTCTTCAGTACATAGAAGGAGGAAGAAGCCGCACCGCTATTGATCGAAATCAGAAGTTCTTCGTGAGTTGCTGTGGGCCATCTATATCAAGCGCGTCATACTGAAGAGTATAAACCCGCTCAAATTCCTATTCCTACACAAAACAAAAGCTCCTGCTGCAGCTAACCCAAGCTAACCCCAGCTAACAGTCACCACTGCGTACAACCCAATAGGGCTGTTCCTTGTAGTTTTTTTTTCTGAAAATTACGCAACACATTTTAAACATAACTTTAAAAAAACCAAAAGATTTCACTGAACTAACTTATAAATACATGCAAACGGTGTATCTTTCCTACCATTCCAATTAACAAAGTTCGGAACCACCCTAGTCAACTGCATCTTTTGGTTCGGGTGAAAAAGGATTCTCGATGGTGTTGTTTGTTTGCGTAGATGAGCTTCGGCTCACGAGAAAAGAGCATTACAAGTTTTGGTTGTAAAAATTGCTAGGCTGAAAAGGGCTGTTGGTCGAGATCTCATAATTTAATTTTAGATAGGGGGAGTAGGGGCATAGTTCCCCATTGCCTTTTTAATGCTTAATCAGGTCCCCAAAAACTGGGCACAATTTGAACGAATTTGGTTATAATCTCGATTTGCCTGAGAATTTTAAATTTGGTATGGGAAACTGAATAAGTTCATTCATTTGCATACCAAAAATCGAAATATTGCTCAAATTTCATCAAAATTTGGACTTAGATTGAGAATAATACACCAAACAACAAAGCTGCAACCCACCCTAATGTACATACTTAAAAAATGGTCATGAAAACAGTAAACCTTAACAAAACATTGAGGTATTTTATTAGAAAAATCCTCATGGAATCCCTCTATGAATTGTATATTTAATAGTAGAGTATAAGTTGCTCAACAAAATTATGTTGAGTTTAGCTGCTAATACTTGATAACCTGCAAGATACACCCCCTTAAAGATAGTGTTATAAATATATAAAAACGGATGTAAATCCTTAAAACGAAAAGATAGCGATTTGTTACCTTCAGCAAAAATGTGCATTTTTAAAGCTTTTACAACTTTGTATTATAGGGTTAACTACCCCATTTCCAGCCTATTAAGCACAACCCGCACTTAGTCTTTCTTAATCTAGCGCAGTTTAGCTTCAAACGGAATGACTTCCAAATTTATTTACCTTTCCGTATGTACCGTAAGATTTAATAAAGAGAAACCAATCGCTGAGATATTGTCAAAAGTCTAACACCAGGGCGTCACAATATCAGCTTCAATCGACCAAATCGATGCGCTTGTCTCTCTTTCGCCCGTCGCTCCATTGGTCTTCCTTTCAAGCTTCGGTGAAACGGATGAGCGAAAGAGCGCTCGACTTTGATAGTTTTCTCTTTCATGAAACACATTAAATTACATATTTAAAGCATTTCTCACGCGAAAACACTTGAATATTACACGTAATATGTTTAATTTATCTTCCATCCACATATTTATCTAAAAAAAAAATTAACGAAAACGGGACATAACGCATTTTAAACAAATTGAAAGAGCGGTGATAGAGGGGTCGTGAAAGGGGATTGAAAGCCATAATGAGGTTTCGTTTAACTAGTAAATCGACGTTACTTACATTGAAAGCGATGAGCAAAGCAACGACGAGAAGATCCACAGCCAGCGTTTCCTTCTAAGCGTGCTTCTTTTTCATTATCATTTCTTGCTGATAGTCTAGCAAGGCGTTATAGAAATGAAGCGTTGAACACGTTTGTTTAGGAGAAACAAAACTCGAGTTCATTTTAGAGCTTCGAAAATGTAGAACCCTGTCTAACACTGCTTCTTGACGTCAAACTCGGCCTACGGATTCTAAACTCGGCCTAACGCATTGAAACGCCAATGAATTCACTTCGGCCTATCGGATGAAGAGAAAAATTGATTCGGTCGGAGCGCTTTTTTTGTTTTTGGGAATAATGGGTGCAAACCTTCATATCACGCGTTCTCATTGACTTCGTTCGGTAGCTTATTAACTAAAGTATCGTACCAAACGCATAATTGATTGGTTAACTCTGAAATTATGAATTTATTTGAAGTTGTCTGCTCGATAGGCCCAAAATGGGCGATTAGGCCGAAGTAGTTCTCTACCCTATTAAAAAATAAAAAACGAGGTACTACCGTTTTTACTCCATTTTCACCTTAAAACTTCATCAAACTTTCTGAAATGATGTCAACTACAATGTTTCCATAGATGTTTATCGATTTTAACAAGATATAAAAAAGTTATTTTTTATCTTAGTGTATTCCCCCCTTAAGCAAACATTTTTACAACTCAAATAAAGTACTCAAAAATTAAAAAAATATTCTAGAAGACATGCAAATGCTACACTCAATAGTTTCAACCCAAATGGCCATTAGACTGATGCAAAATTTGAAATTTTCGCTCCACAGTGTTCAAACGGTTTCAAATCGGGTTCTGATTAGCCTCCGAAAGTTTAAACTCATTTGAAAAGAAACTGACTTGGCACAAACCATTTGAAGTTTATATGCAAATTACTATGGAAAAACCAAACTTTTTGTTCATTGTCTTCTAGCCTTTCATGAAGCGTTAAATTAAATAGTTATTAATTGTTTAAGAGTTTGATAATCTTATGGCAAGATTAAGCAACTGTATTATGGGCAACACTGTATACTGCAGTGTGACATAGTAGCCATGATTTTTGTCCTCTATTCTACGCGCCATAAACACCAATGTTGCCTGCTGAACAGTTGATTGAGCATAATCATAAGACATCAGTGACTTGAATCATTAATAATTTTTGTTCCTTACATTTGATCGAAAAGTAGTCTTCAACAAAGTTGTAGCTGAGAAAATTTTCCACAAGCTCAGCTATCATTTTCTAAAGTAGAGTTAACTGGTGAATTTTGAGATGGATGTGAACCGAAATTATGGTTCCCCTTAGTAATTTCCATATAAACTTCAAATGGTTTGTGCCAAGTCAGGTTCTTACTAAAAAAGTTCAAATTTTGGGAGAATAATCAGGACCCAATTTGGAACCATTTGAGCACTGTGTAGCGAAAATTTCAAATTTTGCATCAGTCTAATAATGGCCATGTCCTACTTTTTTGATGTGGTCCCACTGTGAGTCGTAGAGAATTTACAACAAACAATTGTACATTGTAACAAATGTGAATCCCTGGTCGAGTTTCACCGTGGACTTAATCGAATTCGATTCGGAACTTTTATAAGGGACATCAGTACAATCATTTTCAACTGGTTACAAATCAACTATTGAGAATTGTATGTGCTGATAAGCAGTTATTTCGCTTACTAAACTCCCGAAAGTATCAACGATAGTATGCATATGCATAGAATTTCTGTTTTGTTTTCCGAATTTGGTCAATTAAATTAGTCACTGTCACTGGCTTCTCTCAGGGGAGAACCCCTCCAATTTCAATTTTTGACGGCGGAAAAAAGAGATCATATCGGTTGGGGCCAAAAGCAAGACAATAACAAAACCAGTAAAAACGAAAATCATCATCCACATCGCACAAGGCAGCACAACAGCATCAGCAGCAGCAGCAACAGCAACAGCAGCGTTAAAAATAGAACAAACGACTGGAAGAATCTAATTTAGGTTGTCACCCTGTCTTATATTTAAAAAATTTAATTTACGTGTATTCTGTTCTTGTCTGTTTCTGTATTATTTTTGTGTCATTTTAAACGATAAAGGAAAACAAACAAAAAGTATGAATCCGGGAAAAGCAGTGGCGCTCAGATATCAACTTTCGGCACTAATTCAATTATGAGCGTGAGATAAAGCACGCCAGTAGAGTATGTATGTATCGCCAGATCGCAGTTCTGCGAGTGAGTGTACCCGAATCTAGAGCGAAATCGTGACACGGACAAACGCGAACGACGAGCAGAATCTATACATGTGTGTTGGGATGGGTTCGCCCGACTGCCTTTTCTTTTGCCTAGAGCCGTTACGTTTATTGTAGAGCGAATTTGTTTTACTTAGTTCCTTTTTCCGAGAGTGCAAGAATACATTTTCCACTTTCTCTTCTTCTGTATTTTGGCTACTGTACATTTAAATGGTATCATTGCACAAACGAAACAAAATCAAAAATAAAAAAATAAATCCTAAATTTGAGAGAGTACGAGAGCAAGCGAATGTACAGAAAACAAAAAAAAAATGTAGTGATATTGCAAAACGCCTAACGTAGGAAAATAGGGGAAAATTGCCAATAACTGGACAGCCGCACACAAGTCTTTGTTCCGATGAATAAAACAGCATCATAACGTATTTTTGTTTGTTTTCTGTTTATTAACGTTGATAGTATACATATCTATTACTCTGGTTCAGCTTTTATACTCGTGTAGCAGAATGACCGTTCTACTCATTTTTTTTCCTTTCACCTTCCAGTTCATTATTCATTTGATTAGTTTCCTTTTAAAAAACCAATTCCATTTACCATTTTTATCTCTTCATCGTTTCATTTTTATTAATATGAGTAACAAAAATCAATAACCAGACATCCCCGAGACTGCAGCAGCAAGCGCAATACAGAGCAAGCGAGCGAGCAATCACGTGACACAGTTTCCAAACGCGAATCAAGCGAAATTAAAACGCTCCCATTTTCACCCCTCCCGTCCGGTCAATAAATAGTCAATTCGGTGGCGGCAAATAAAAAAAAAAAAAAAACATCCAAATCGAAAGGAAAAAAGGGACAATTAGCGTTATTATGATTGAACCGATGCCAACCAAACGTGATCGAACGATTGTTTAAGAAAATTATGACAAACTTTCCAATGCAATGATGATAATGATAGCGCACTACTAAACGCACCCTCGTGTTTGAATTTAGCAGCAAATAGTAGATTTCTTTGAAACTTAGCCAATTGATAGAGAATGCTTGAGCGGGATGGTCTCTCCAGGTCCCTGCCTGCGTTAGATTATGCACGCACGCTTTCCAAGGCCAGGATCCTGAGGGCCATCCCAGTGCTTAGACGAAAAAAAAAAACATGTGGTACATCTCACACCTAAATTAACTCACACCGATTTTCCTTTCCCCTTACTTTCTAATTAGTCGTGTTTTCTTGTGTATTGTGTCGTGTCTCTTTGCGTTCTGTTTCTGTTTCCCGATTCCTGATTTGTCTCAAGAAGCATTAAATGACTAAAACGTAAATATGATTTGGGAGCTATCAACGTGATTATTTCGTTTGTGTCTTGTGTCCATAAACTGCTTTGATTTGATCTCTCGTGTTTCGTGTATTCGTTTGTTTGTTGGAATGCAATTTGAGTGTTTTGTGGTACAAAAGACAAAGAAAACAAAACAAAAACAAAAAAGAACCCGAACAAATGTAAAGGCGGCTGAGGAATTGCCAATTTTCCTGTATTTTCCTACACCGATTGCTTGCGATAATATAACAAGAAACTCTCTAACGAGAGGAGAACATGTGAACCAGTCAGATAGGACAGCATATTTCGTTTTAGTCATTTCATACTTGCTTGATCTCGGTGTCGTCTAGCTGCTAGTTGAATTATTCAACCGTACACACATCCACACATACGGACACAGGGGCAGTGTGCATACATGATATGCGCACACCAACTGGAGCTGCAAATCAATTAGGAAAACGCTCAAAGGAGTACGAATAATTCAGCTAGCATCACAGACTGTTTGGCACTGTGCTGTGCTATCTATGAATCTCTCTCTCTCTCTATACTCTCTAGCTCTTTATGTATATGTATATGATCTACCACACAGTTATAGATGTAGCGATTGTGTTGTGTTTTGTGGTGCAAGAGCTTTAATGCTAGCTAGCGGATGATGGACGGTGGAGTTTTGGTTCTGAATTTTCGTTCTATTCTTTTTCTGGCATTACGGATACTGGGGGATGCTGGGATCAGTAAGATTTGGGCTAAACATTTCCCCTGTGCGAACTCGTTCTAGGTATGGGATGCAAGGGACGCGAAACGTTACACTACCTTTGCGAGCAGATCCCCGGCGATGCACTACTCTTCAGTATGTTCAAGATCAACCCCGAGCCCATCAAATGTCCACTGGCGGGTAAGTACCAATTCCACACTATCTATATATAAATAGCTACCTGCTTTGATGTTGTGCAAAGTAACCAATCGGGATGATTGGTAGGATTAGCAGCAGTAGTGGCAGTGGGTTGGAAATGATTCCTAATTTCAATTAGATAACTTGTTCCACTTTTTGACAGTGCGATTTGGCGCCCATCCAAGCGGAAGAACATCGATTCGGGATTTTTCGATTGCTGATTCGAATGGGGTGCGTGCAAATTACTCTGTTGTCACATTCGGTAGAGTGCATTCAGATGCAAGCGAACTGATATGAGAAATGGCAAACAGTTTCGCTGTCTGAAATATTGAATGAAATTGAATCAATTAGGGTTAGGATTTATGGAATTCGAGCTTTCTATACTAGTACTATCAAATGTATTGGACTGCAAGTATAAATGATTTGTGGATACACAAAAAAACGAGTAATTGTTGAATTTTTCTGGAGCAGATACAAAGAGCCGTTTGGTGGCTGAAAGAAGCACTATGCGGCTCCATCAAGCGAAATCTAAGGCTGATGTTGTTAGCTTATGATTTAAATTTGTGTTGGGAAAGGGAATAGATGGAAAAATTCACACATGCCGAATCTGTTGTGAAACCTGAATCGGGTAACAAGATCTGGTCTGCCTGTTTTATGACAAACGTCAGTTTGATCGTTTGTTTCCACACCAACTCACAGTGGTCTAAAAGTGCCAAAACGTGCGTTTTTTTGTTTATGCGAAAACGGTCCATTTAAGCCATATAGTGTTTTCAGAGAAGTTTTTGCACTTAAAAAGTCCCTTCTTTTGAGCTTAGTCATTTCACGATTAATCCACCTAGCAGGGAGATGAAAAATTTACTTTTTTTTTGTTTGTCGAGATAGCAAAATAGTGTCTTGAGCAAAGTTTTAGACAATATTAAAACAGGCATTTTTGCTCAGGACGTCAACCCTCTATCTCTTATGTTCACAGAGATATGACATTTTTTGGGTAAGAGCCTTCAGAAAATCAATTTTTGCAAATAACTTCTACACTAATGTTTTTTAATAAGCCGTTTTGTATTGCAAAGCAAGTCCTTATCTTCAATATTTCTTGAGATATTCAAGGTTTTGATGCAAAATTAGCACTATTTCCAAGGTCAATAGCTCAAAGTTTTTCAAATTTCGACAAACCAGGTTGATTACATTTGAAAGTATACTTGAAATGCTGCCCAATGCATACCAAATCATAAGTCTTCTTTAGTATTCTCTGCTGATCTGCTTATTACCAAACTATAGGGTCACGACTTCCCGTATAATTGTGCTACTGTTGGTATTTGTTATGAACATTAAAAACAACATTACTACCTCAAATGATTACTACCTATATCTGAATATAGTTATATTTCATCAACCGTTTCATATAATATCAAAGAAAAAAATATTTATCGTTACCCATTTCCTCGTCACTTTCAGAATTTTCGCTTACTTCTATTTTGCCATCGGTTCATGCATCGGTAGATGGAACTAGAAGCTACGTAACCAAATTTTTATTTTGGTTCCCTGTGGTTCTCCTCCAAATATTAAACAACTCGCGTTTTTTCAATAGTTTCTAAATATTTAAAATAAAACACATATTTTCAAACGTTTTGTTCTGGCAACACGGACCGTTCCGCCTCGCGATCGGCCGATGAGGCGAGAAGAGGTTTGGCCGATGAGGCGTGACAAGGTGACAGGTGAAGTAGAAGTGACAGGTGAGAAAGAGATAGAAAAAAAAAAAAATAGTTAGAAGTTGATCTGACAGAAGTCGTGCAGAGGAGAAGTAAACAAATAGAAAAGAAAGGTTGAAGTTTAGTTCATTGTAGATTGAGATTTAGAGCGTGTTTGTTAGAAAAAGAGTGAAATTTCGGTGCGTTTTTCTGAGAAGGTAAAATAATTAAACGACCGCAAAGTTAAAACACCAGGTTAGTTCAACATACAAAAATTGAAACACATTTAGAACGAAAGAATTAAATTACAGTTTTTTACGACACAAAGAGCAGGTTAGTCGATGATAGACGGTTCGATAAGATAGATTGGCAGACAGGCATAGTATTGGAAGCGAGATTGGAAATACAAGGAAAGTTTAGATGAGGAACACTAACTAAAATTTTGAGTAATACTAACACTAAAACTCATGAAAATACTGTACTAACTCCAATGAATTTCTCATAAAATTGCAGTTTGATCTACCTGCAAGAAAAGGTTGATTCAAGAACGGTTTGTTTTATGCGATCCGAACACGTTTCAAATAGTGATCAAAACAAATTGCACTTACCTGATGCAACCAAAAAAGATATTTCAAAGCTCATTATCGTAATTATATACAACCGCTCACGTTCGAAAGCCAATGACACATTGCTACAGACATCGGGACTCAAATAGTGGAAGGAACAAGGACTAGTGTTCGTTCAGTTAACCGGTTACTACAACAAACACCGAGAATCACATTCCGGGAAGAACAAGGACCACTGTTCGTTCAATCAATCGGTCACTACCCAGACAACCAGAATGCACGTATATTCAAAGTTGTTTTCGTGATATACAAACATATATACAAACAAACAATTCGTATAGAATGCAAATAAATGGCTTATACGTACAAAAGTAAAGGCCATATACGTGCATATTTTAATTTAATTTTAAAGGAGTTGATTTAACGTCATATGCGATTTAATCTGTAATAACAAATTCATTTTGTAAAGTCTTACGATGTAATCCGATTTAATTTGTGATACAGAACGACGGAAAAATGAGTCATCGCATATAAGTAGGAAATTTGCATTCTATACGATTTAACTTAAACATAATGTATGTCATTCTTATATGCGATTTTTACTTAAACTGTATCAATTTACGGTACTGTCTGTACATTGTTATACGACTTCCCCTAGTAACACGCTTGTCACAAATCAATTGTAGAAACTTATATACGACTTATGTCAGTCATAAACAAGTTGCTGTAACTTATTGTGATGAAAGTGTGCTACTCGTGTACTACCGACACTGTAAATCACCTACCGGGAGAAACAGAGACCAATCGTAGTTCAGTCATTTTTTAAAACTACAATAGACACCGGGACTCACCTGCCACAAGAACCACTGTTTATTCAGTCAACCAATCACTACAATTGACACTACGAATCACTTTCTTGTCATGTCAACCGCTCACTACAATTTAGAATTTGGAATCAAAACTTTTACCACACGCGGCTTTGCAATGCCTACTCATTTTTGCACGCCTACTTCGATTTAACCGAATTAAAATTTTCTTCCTTCAACACCAATAGTAAGTGACGTATGAAGGAGCCTCTATGTATAAATGCAAGAAAACGATTATCTGTACACGGTTTACTATAGTTTGGTAATAAGCAGATCAGCAGAGAATACTAAAGAAGACTAATGATTTGGTATGCATTGGGCAGCATTTTAAGTATACTTTAAAATGTTTTTTGCCCGACTTCGAGCTATTGGCCTTGGAAATAATGCTAATTTTGGAACAAAACCTTAAATATCTCAAGAAATGTTGGAGATAGCGACTTGCTTCCCAATACAAACATTAGTGTAGAACATACTAATGTCAAAAAATTGCTTCCTGAAAAGTTATTTGCAAAAATTGATTTTCTGAAGGCTCTTACCAAAAAAAAATGACATATATCTGTAAACATAAGAGATAGAGGGGGGCGACCCCGGCGTAATGGTTAGCATCCATATCTTCCACGCCAAAGTCACGAGTTCAAATCTCACCCCCGGACAAGTCACGAATGACCCAAGAGCGTTAAAGTGACTATAATAAAATAAAAAAAAATAGGAGATAGAGGGTGGACGTTTTGAGCAAAAATGTTTGTTTTAATATTGTCTAAAACTTTGCTCAAGACACCATTTTGCTATCTCGCCGGATGTAGGCGCCGTCGTATTCACCGTCGTAGTCGCGGTCGTAATCGCCGTCGTAGTGGCCGTAGGCAGTACCGTTAGTATATTTAAAAATAACCATCAGCCGCTGAAACTATATAAATAATCGCGTATCTCTGTTGTTCATTACATACCAAGTGAAAACTTAATCATATTTTGTCCTGGAGTGTTGTGGTTTTGAGGTGCTTAATGAGCAGAATATCATGGGTTTAATCCCAAGCTCTCCCAAAACAGAATAAACCACCATCGTTGGATTTCGAGAGCATAAAGCGCAGTTAATAACCACGTGAATAGTTTAAACCATGAATTTCGGAGAGGGTGTATGCGTGATCCAGTTTGGAAGACATTATTGGCTGCTTTCAGAGACGTCGCTTCATTTGAATAACTTTTTGTTGAGTCGGTCGTAGATTATCGCAATGTAAGGGGCACGGTGGCTATAGAGCAACTGTTTTCGCTTAATGAGTAGAAGATCATGGGTTAAAACCCAAGCCTCATTACATTACTTAGTTTATATATACAGGCCTCTATTGTAGAAAATCGTTAATAACAGAAATTGGAGGAACGATTCAGTAAAGTAATAAGTATATTTAGACAAATGTGACGTACGCCTGAATCGGTTCGGAAGACATTGTTAACTACTTTGGATGGCTTCATTTTATTGTAATACCTTCTTGTAACCGATAATGAACGATCGTCGGTCGTAGCTTGTTGTGATATAAGGGGCACGGCGGCCTTAGAGCGACCGTTTTTGCTTACTGAGCAGAAGATCGTGGGTCAAAACTCAAGCCTCTTTACATTGGAAGACATGGTGATAGCCGCAACACTTCAGTTGTGCTCTCGTTTGCCGCCGGACCTGACGGCATTCCGTCATCAGTTCTAAAACATTGCGAGGCTATTCAATCTCTCGGCACAGCAATGTGAGTTCCCCTGCCGCTGGAAACTTTCTTGTCTGTTCCCAGTCTACAAAAAAAGGAGATGAACGGAATGTCACAAATTATCGTGGAATCACCGCCTGCTCAAAACTGTTCGAGATTATCATAAATGATGCTCTGTTGCAAAAAATATTCATACTGCAT